ATGCCTTATCCTTATCTCACCCTGCCGATTTGAAACGCTTCACTCCAAAGCCTGTCTCGTCCGTTTGATGGAGCAGCATCCACACACGCGAGTGCACACTCCCTCACGTCGCCCTCTTAACTCTCCACCATAAGCTTTGATTCCAGCCTGTGATGCGCTTTGTGTTATGTAAGCCGGTCTGTCGGAGTCGGTGGAAAGTCAGGCCGTGTCCTCACCCAAAGGCCAAACTTCTGCTCCGGCTCGCGCTTCATTACACTTGTTTACCAATAACATGCCAAAGAAGCCACTAGAAGGGTTTTAGCTGAGCCCCTCAGAGAGCCACTAGGCTTCATCTTCATCTGCTGAAGGGGTGATGATATATATTATCACTGTGGAGACACTGAGTGTCCAGAAGTGTCCAGGCATTACTTTTAATTAGTGAATTCAGCTACCGACACAGGTGTTCAGCTGCACACATACAGCTTGTTTAATCTGCATAGAAGAGCACTGACCAGTATGAGACATAAGGTCACCATGCCCAATATCTGCTAATACACCCTTTAACCCTCAGACTGCTGGTCACCATAGCAACGATAACAGCAATCTCACCTAGCTAGTAGCTAATGAAAAGGCAAAGAGAGAGATTTAAGACAGACATCGATCATTTGGAGACGAATGGACTTGTTTACATTTATAATCACTCCAGCTGGTTTCCTGATACGTTTAATCTGCAACGAGAAACTGACAAACACTACAAAGTCATGAGGCTGAGGTCAGTTTCTCGTTCGCCAGCTTCTCGTTCAAATTGTCTCATTCCACCTTAAACAGTGCAACAGTTACATTCTGGCGTCTCAGGCACCATTTAAGGTGGAACGGGAAAATATGAACAGGAAGCTGGTGAACGAGAAGCGACTTCAACCTCGTAAAAAGTCAAACGTTGTGAGACATTTTACAAGAAACTGTTCTACTTTTGTGGAAAAGTTTCCTGCTGGAGATGTGAGAAAAGCGACTATAGCTGAGCTAAAGCTCAAAATAAAGCCAAGTCTGGATTTTCACACATACTGAGACATATTTACAGCCCAGAGGGCAAAATGGACAAATTGTTGTGGCTCCCAAGGTGGTTTGATTTTTGTTAAAAGGACAAAATGGCTTTTCTTAACGTTATAGTTGCCGACATCTGTTATAGAATATTCAACAATTCAAGATAATATTCAAAAATGAAAATATTAGATTAGCTGCAGCCCTAATTAATACCCTTGATTTCAGAAGAAATGCTGGATGAGCAGGTGCCTACAACCATTTGGACATTTAGTGCAGTAAATACACAAAATGTATGAAGTTCAAGATGTTGCAGACGTTCGAGTGCTGAAAGATTAAGTGCTGTGCAACAAGGGGATAAAATGTGTGGCCTTCATTCTCAAGCCAGCGATAGGACCAATGTTGGCACAGATATTCACAAGTAGTCTTTGTCTTCAGTTTATTATTACAGGCTGACAACGAAAGGCCTCTTATTTAAAGCTTATTTGTACAAGCCAAGAATAGGTTGTATGTTTGTGCGAACATGCAAACTGTGAAATATGTTATATGATCACACATACTGAGCACACCTACGCTCTGCTGTAGTACACCATCACCACACACCCCACACACCTCTAACTCTCTGTTGTTCTCTCTCTCTCTCTCTCTCTCTCTCTCTCTCTCTCTCTCTCTCTCTGCAGAAGGACTTTACCCGGAGGGATGAGCTGCAGCAGACAGATGTGGAGTGCTGGCTGGGCTTCATCACGTTCCTGTGTGAGGTGTTTGGCACCATGAGGAGCAGCACTGGAGAACCCTTCAGAGTGCTCGTGTGCCCCATCTACACCTGCCTACGAGAGGTACTCTCACACTGCGTTACCGTTCACTGTGCCCTACACAGAATGAGCATTATCCACAGTCTTTAGTCCACGCTGGTGTGATAAACTACAGAGTTTTGGGTTTTTACCAATTAAACACAACCAAACGGGCTCCCGAGTGGCGCACCCGTCTAAGCGTTGGCCCTATCATCAGGAGATCGCGAGTTCGATCCCTGGTGATGCTACAGCCGTCCGTAGCCGGGAGTCCAAGAGTGCACAGTTGGCCTCGCTCTCTCTGGGTGGGTAGGATGGCCCCTCCTTCTCCCCCCATCACTCAGCGTGATGCTAGTCAGCGCAGGCGTCTGTTAGCTGACGTAACAGATCTGGCGGTTGGCGCTTTCCTCCGAGCGCGTTCGGCTGTCCAGTGACGTTGCGTGAGCGGCAGTTTGAAAAGAAGCGGTGGCGCTTCACAGGTCTCGGAGGAAGCCTGTGTTAGCCTTCGCCCTCCTAGCGTTGATAGCATCGTGTGATTGGGGGAGTCCTAACTAGCGGGTGGAATTGGAGACGACTAAATTAGGGGAGAAAATCGGGGAAAAATAATAATAAAAAAAAACACAACCAAACATGATCATTTATTTTTTAGCGTATAACAATAGCAAATCATGTAGAACAGGGGTGCCCAATACGTCCATTGTGATTGACCAGTCGATCGCACAGTGCATGTTGGTAGATCGTGCCTCATTCAAACAGTCCATCAACTTTCTTACTGATTCTGGCGGCGGGCAGGTCAACGTGATTGACATGAAATGTGGTCACTGTCTCTTCAATTTACTGCTTGTTACCGTAGCTACACCACAGCCGCCTAAAGCACTGCGGTGAGTTCGCCTCTCTAGTAATCTAGAAGGTTTTAATTTATCGGTTGCCAGGTTGTGTAGCGCATTTTTGCGTTTTCCTTTTGTAACCTGCACTGCGCTGCTATGGAGAAAACCTTGTATCTCCATTTTTGTCCATTTTTCAGTTTTTGACATAATTTGAAAATCCCTGTTGCCCTTTACATTGTGGGTCAACTTCAGGAAAAATTGACCAAAATTAATGGTCCGAAATGACTTGGTAAAAACTCTGGTTCCATTGACTTACATTAAAAGTAAAGTAGGTTTTTTCCTTCTCCTGTAAAGTTACCATTTTGGAGATACAGTTTTGTTCCGACAGCAGTGACTGACTCTTTCAGAAGACGAGTGCGAGGCTGAGCACAAAGAAACCGACAAACTTGCTACTTTCATGCAGAACAAGAGGAGGACTATTTTTTGCAATGTCAAACTCGAAAAGCATCTGCTTGATTTGCCAAGTAGCCAATACACTTCTAAAGAAGGGGAACATCAGGAGGCATTTACGAACTATACATAGAAACTATAACAACGAATTCAAAACTAAAAGTGAACTCAGGAAGAAAAAAGTGCTCCAGACTATACAAACCTGGCTGACAGTAAGGTTAGCGTGATTTTCCAGTCGTTTGCCCTTTAATCGGCCACTGAAGTGCATTAAAAATGTTTCAAAGCTTTTAAAAAAGGATGAGGCCGGCCTTTTTTTTAAGGTGGTTCACAATAACGTCCACTGGAAAAAGTAGATCTCAAGCCACAAAAGTTTGAGCACCCCTGATGTAGAATGGTTGGATTAAAGTCACTGAGAGTCACTAGATGAGAGTATTTATTACCGTAGCCCGGCTTCTGCAGCGCTGCGTCTCATCAACTTTGCAATACTCCTAGAGAAACAGAGCAAAGACTAGGGCTGCCTTTGCTTTTATGCAACTAGTTGCATGTTGTGAGTTGCACGCAACGTATTTTCACAATTCATAAATTTAAATCAAAGTTGCACGCAACACATTCCGTTACTCCACTAGTTAAACAAGCAGCCCCTGTGTTTTAATACATTGTGCTGTTCTTCATATGAAATCATCTGCGATGTTTTGTTCATCACATATTTGCAGCATTTTTATTATCTTTGACCATTTTTTCCAGCTGTCTTTGTCGTTCTTTTCTTCTTCTATATATCAATATTTTATCATTACTGTACATTCGAGTTTCTAATTTGTGCTATGAATGATAGGCCTTTGGTAAGAATGGTCAGAAAATTGATAAGAATGTTAAGAAAAAGTGTGGTGAAAACAAAAGCAGTTTACGGTTGTTCTTGATGTGTCACTCCTTCTGTCGTAGCAGCACAAATTCAAGACTGGAGAAAATCTATATAGACCATAACCACAGTAGCTAACAAAGAAGCATAAACTGTAGCACAAGCAGCCATTTAAACAGCTGTTAGCATTGACTGGCTAGTGGGTAGAGCAAGCATGGCCTGGGTTTGATTCCCGGCCGGGCGACCAGAGTCCTTTCTGTGTGGAGTTTGCATGTTCTCCCCGTGTCTGCGTGGGTTTCCTACACATGTAGTCCAAAGACATGCAGTCAGGCTGATTGGACATGCTGAATTGCCCCTAGGTGCGAGTGTGTGTGAGTGTGTATGTCTGTCTGTCTGTCTGCCCTGCGATGGACTGGCGACCTGTCCAGGGTGTATCCTGCCTTCCGCCCGATGACAGCTGGGATAGGCTCCAGCACCCCACCGCAACCCAGAAGGATAAGCGGTTTAGATGATGTGTGTGTGTGTGTGTGTGTGTGTGTGTGAGTTTCATTATACAACGTTATACAACTCAAGTGCAATTCAGTTTCAAGTTCCATCTAAAGCCAGCTTAAAGGTTGCGATCACAGAATCATCCTTGTGACATTTAGAAAGCTGCCCTTTCACAGTTTTAATAGAGGTGCAGTGAGTGTAGCGCTTCCACATGCTTGAGTCCATAGGTCAAATGATCTTGATAACTGATATACTCTTGTCCATAAACTCGTGCTTAGTAGGAGAGAAAGGTGGGTCATTAGTTGGTCTTGGTCAGCGGTAGTTCTTCGACGTCGGCTTGCTGTGTCAGGGACAAACGTTTAACCCTTTAAGACCTTTCCTCTGTAATTCCAGACCTCGTCTACTCTACGTCTGCCCGTTACATCATGGTGTAGACAGATCTACACATTAATTAATTGATTTAATTTAAGTGACGCTTATTAGTCCCACAACGGGGAAATTTCACCTCCATATGTACAGTGAAACACCACATACACACTAGTGAACACACACACTAGGGGGTATGGATGACTAGGCTGCAGTGAGCACACAGCCCTATCCAGCCCTATGGGGGTTAGGTGCCTTGCTCAAGGGCATCGTCGGCTCAGGGGATCGAACCGACACAAGGCAGTTTCCCCAGCCTCCAGCCCATGAATGCTCCCTGTTTGTTTATACGTTATCGTCATTGTTGGGTTGCCAATCAGACGATTAAATGCAGCATCCAGCAGATTCGATCAAAAGGGTTTTTCAAGTTATATAAAAAATTGAATACATATATAAATAAAACCAACGCAAATGGACACACGAGGTAAACTGCAGCATTTAAGTTGAATTTTTTGGCATTGATATCAGAATCGGAGTATTTTATTATCATAAGTTTACAGGGCATGCGTCAGGATCTAAACTGCAGACAAAGCCTTGATTCTCATCCTGCTGTTTAGTCACTGCTGACTCTGATATAAATGAGTGTAAGTGCTGCGCAGCAGGTCTGATGCGCTGTCTGTAATAATTCCAGTTCCTAGACACACATATGTGTGTGGGTGCGTGTCTGCGTGCGTCTGTGTGTGAGTTTTAGCAGGTAGGACGTCAGGAAACGAGGACAGAGATGACGATTATTAAACACTCACCTGAGTTTTTACTCCCTTCCGAGAAGTTGGTTGTCATGGCAACTGAACTTAAGCTTTGTGTCTCTCTCTCTCTCTCACTCACACACACACCAGCATTAACTCTCACACACACACTCCCACACTGCAGACACACTCATTCTTGGCTCCGCCACAGAAACCTGGAGAGAGAGGGAGGGAGAGATTGCCGGGGGGGGGGTAGTTTGGGAGAATTAAGGTCTGATTAGAGACTCCACCACAGAACCTTCTGTCGCGCTGATTGCGAGAAGGCCAAGCCGAGAGGCCCACAGGAACTGCGGGATGATGGCAACGGCAGGCGGATGAGCTGGAGAAGGGGTGAAGAAAGAAAAGAAGAGGAAATTAAACAGAGAGAAAGAACGTTGTGAATTGGGAGAGCTTTCCAGAACGATTTGAATGGGGGAGAGGGTTCTAGAACAGAGGAGAACATTCAAGGACATTGTGAATTAGAACAGTTGGAAAAGGGGAGAAGATTCTTGAGCAGTGTGAATGGATAGGGCGTTCTAGAACTGTTAGAATGAGGGCGGCGTTCTAGGACTGTGTGAATTCTAGAACATTGTGAATAGGGAGGACATTATAGAACATTGGAGAACTTTTTTTAAGAGCAGTTGGAATGTGGGAGAACATTCCATAGCAGCTTGAATGGAGAGAACATTCGAGAAGAGCGTGAATTGGGTTAGAACATTCTGAAATGGTGGGAAAGAGGGAAAACGTTGTAGAACTCTCTGAATGGAGAGAACTTTCCAGAACAGTATGGGTGAAGGATGACATTCTAGAACCATGTGAATGCAAGGGAATGTTCTACAACTGTGTGAATGGAGGGAGAACATTCTAGATCATTGTAAACTAGGAGAACAGTTTAATGAGGGGGATGTTCTAGAACTGTGTGAATGGGAACATTCTAGAGCATTGTGAATAGGCAGGACATTCTGGAACATTGGAGAACATTCCATAACAGCTTGAATGGGGAGAACATTCTAGAAGAGTGTGAATTGGGTTAGAACATTCTAGATTGGCGTGAATGAGGAGATCATTCTAGAAGAGTGTGAGTTGGGTTAGAACATTCTAGATTGGCATGAATGAGGGAAAACTGAATTGAGAGAACTTTGTAGAAGAGTTTGAGTGAGGAGAACATTACAGAACAGTATGGATGAAAGAGGACATTCTAGAACCATGTTAATGCAGGGAAACTCTCTACAACTGTGTGAATGGGGGAGAACATTCTAGAACATTGTGAATTAGGAG